AGATGGGTGTGGCATGCTCATGGGTGAGTGGGACATGCAAGTACACCATGCCCATCTGTGAACGCACCCACTCACCCGCACACACACGCATGAGTGTGTACGGGGCGGAGATCTGTCTCCGCGGCCCAATCCCACAGACTGGCACCAGGCCGCGGATCAGGGGTTGGGGACCCCTCCTTTAAAGTCATGTGCAATGCAACATAAAGAGCAATTGTTCAGAGAAAGTGTGATATAAATCCCATTAAGTCAGGGATGCAAAGCACATGGGATTCATGATGTATGCAGACTTTGAGTCATCCTTGCAGCATCCCAACTACAGTGGACCCTCGACTTATGGAATCTGCCCTCTTGGCCCATGTCCCCAGTGCCCTGTGGACGGAAAGTAGAGGTCACCGGGGACAGGAGACAAGAGGGCAGCAGGGACTGCTTTGAATTTGCCACCCTTTCCCCCTGCCTTTCGTAGGTCAGAGCTCCGGCTGCAAGTCGAACTAAAATTTTGCGGCCGGAGCTTTTCGTACCTCAAAATTTCCATAAGTAGGGACCTTTGTTAAGTCAAGGGTCCACTGTGCTCCTAGAATACCCTGCAGGTTAAAAAAAAAGCTTTAGAAAATACTTCACCATTGAAGCCTCCGGAGATTGTGACTCTTCTCTAAAGCAAAGGGCAGGGCGATTTCCAGGGTTTTTTCAAAATTAAAAATGAATTTCTGGTTACTTCCAATTTTGAAAAGAAAAGTGAAATAACTGCATTTTAAGAGGGCATATAGCATTTTGCAGGTCCACAAAGGTCATAACTGACTTCTGAACTTTGCCTACACGTGCACTAGGCAGACTACATTTCAAATGCTGTTGATCTTTCCACCATGTCTGAAATCTTGAAAGAACTGTAGAGTAAATTACAACACTACAAAAGAATGCGACTTTCTTTTCATTCATGTCAAAAGTACCACAGTAGAGTGAAGAAATGCATCAGACAATTTTTGCCCAATGATGGGAGAAAGATTTCCATGGCACATGTTGAAGAGCATAGAGTACACTGGCATAGGTGTGAAGTTGCCTGTCAACTCCATTTTGTAGCTTATTAAATGACTATGAGTTTCTACAGGCGCTCCTCACTTAACAACCAAGTTATGTTGAAGAGTCAAACTTCGGTGCTTTCCTCCTCCTGCTCCAGATTGGTAAATTTTAAACTAGCCACTAGCTCTTGCTGCACCCAAACTGGTAGGTTCACTTGAATTCTTAGTACAGTAGCTATGATTTGACTCCACATCAGTGGAGGGTGATTTTTTGCAAATTTAACATTTCCAACTTGTATCTTGCAGCTCAGCAGTAATCCCTTTCATCATGTAAAAGCCATGGAAACTGTGGGACAGGAGGAGGAAGTGGTGAAGATGCAAGCTTGGATTTACGAGGCTCATATTGTAAATCCAGGTGGTTGTTAAACAGGTAGGTTGTTAAATGAGGAGTACCTCTACATTCCACATTATACTCCTAGCACTTTCTGCTGTTGCTTCAAATTTCACAGATGTTCTGAAAAAACATATCCTGTTTTTAATTGCAGACGGGTGAGATAGTACCCAAAGAATAGAAGCATATTTAATGTATATGCTCTGAGTCATTCACTATTAACTGTTACCTCTCTCCATATGTCACTGGGTGCAATTCCTGCTAGGTAACTGATTTCATCAATAGGGGCTGAATTCAGGCATCCAATAGTAATGTTGCAGCTTTCACTGAGTGCTACATCTACCTGTCTGGCTTAATTACCTTCAAAGTAGCATAGGACCAAGGTTGTAGGTCTTAGTGCTTGTAGTTGTGTGACCCACCCCCCCGGTTGGATTCCAACAACTTTTGAAGAATAATGTTCTTTGTGTAGAAATTCTGCTTTGTATTTTTGGCAGCACTTCTTATAGGTCAGCATATGATACAAAGTAACACCTAGTTACTTGGGAGCAAAACAGTGATCTAGTTAGGATAGTGGTGGCGAACCTTTTTGGGCTTCCCTGCCCAAACTGGGGTGGGGTGGGAGAAAAAAGTGGGCAGTGTGCCGCCACCGCACCCGGAACTGGCGGCAGAAGGGGGAATCCCAGCACGGAGGTGCCTCAAGGCCCCTCTGCTGCCAGCCCCAGTTGCTCCGGATCTGCCTGCCGAAGCACCAGCACTGGCTGCAGCCGCCTCCTGAGGTTTGGCTGCACCGGGGGGGGGGGGAGTGATCTGAGAAGGTGTCCTGCCATTTGAAAACTGTCCAACTGAACAGAAAGTATGAAACTGTCAGCAGAAATACCATTCTTTGTACCTTGAGGGAGTGGTTGATCACTGGCGTAGATTTCAAACAAACAAGAGCCAGTACACTGCCCTGGGGTAGATAATTCTTTTGAGTCCTTCACTGGCTGTGTTACCCTTGCAAGTTAACGAAAAATCTTTGACTTTGAGAAAAGGCTGCTATGACTTTAATGAATTTATAATCCTTGGTTAAATTATAAAAAATGTGCAGTAATACTTAATGATGAACAGCATCATAGGCCACTGAGAGGTCAACAAAGGCTATTCTCATGAACTTCCTAGTTTCAAAGCTGTCCTCAATATGTTGAACTAAATGTAGGATTTGTGCTGTACAATTCTTTCCAGATCTAAAACCAATCACTACTTTCATTAGATGGTTAGGAACCATCCTTCCATGATTTTATAAAGATAACAAAGTAATGAGAATGGCCTGAAGTTTTCTGAGTCTGTGGATTTTTTTCCAGATTTCAAATGAGACTAATTTTTAACTGAGTATTTATTCTTTTTTTTAATTTACTTGATTTATGTCCTGTCCCTTTAATGGAAACACTACTCTGTGCAGGTTACAGATTATAACTCAGAATCCAACATACCGTATATAAAATCAATATGGTAGTTCACCAATCTAGATGTAAAATTAATACAGAAAGAGAAAGAAAGCATAAGAAAAAAAAGAAACTAATATCGTGTTGCCGCAAAAATAAGACAGGGGCTTATATTAATTTTTGCTCCAAAAATGCATTAGGGCTTATTTTCAGAGGGTTTTTTTCATGTACAACAATCTACATTTATTCAAATACAGTTGTCATCTTCTGGTTGCTGCACAATGCTGCACAATGGTGGAGGGAAGAGTTTCACTTAACTGGGGTTTATTTTTGGGGAAGGGCTTGTATTACAAGCATCCTGAAAAATCATACTAGGGCTTATTTTAAGTTTAGGTCTCATTTTCGGGGAAACAGGATATTAGTGATATCTGGGGGATAAGTTATTGAAGGCAGTTTTGTATAATTCTATAATTTCCTAAATATCAGGTGAGAGGGAGCCTGGCATAATTCTACTTGAAGATTATTTCAAAGACTGAAGGCCACCACTAAGAAGGTCCAATTTCTTGTTGTTGCCTTTTTTGGCCTCCAAAGAGGAATGAAATTCCATATGCAGTTTAGGGACCTAGTTATTGTACAGACAGAAACCGGAAAGAACACTTCCATAAAATGCTTAACCTGTGATGTTATACTCATTTTAACATCAAAGAATGCATAGTACTATTCATTTTAACTATTAGTGGTGTAATCAACTGCATACAAACTGAAAGCATTTGGTAGGACCCACATATCTATGGAATCAGTTGCTGTGGCTTTACTTATGATGCATGGTTTGCCATAGCCTTATATCCAACATTCAAGGGTGCCTTTGTTGGACTCCTTTGCAGCCTTTGTCCCACCCCCTTATATATAGGGCTCCCTTGCATCCACAGTTTTAAGAATCCATGGCAGATCATTAAACCAACCCCCCATGGATAAGGGGTTCCTACAGCACTGGTAAACTTCTAAAGGAATCAGTTGCTGTGCCTTTACTTATGCATGGTTTGCCATAGCCTTATATCCAACATTCAAGGGTGCCTTTGTTGGACTCCTTTGCAGCCTTTGTCCCACCCCCTTATATATAGGGCTCCCTTGCATCCACAGTTTTAAGAATCCATGGCAGATCATTAAACCAACCCCCCATGGATAAGGGGTTCCTACAGCACTGGTAAACTTCTAAGTATATTTTATCCACCTAAAATATATTGCAAGTCGTATATATCCACTTGACATACTTCAGAGTATTCAGGACATAATTAGGAAAAGCCAGCAAATGTCAACTGAGATGATTTTCTGGATTTATGAACATATAAAAAAAGGTAAGAAGATAACCAGAAAGATGTGAAGAAATGCCCAGAGTAGCAATGGAAACCTTGTCATGTCATGCTAAAGAATAAGATGACATATTAGAAAATCCATTGGGCAAATATAAAATCTGACTGAAATGCTTAGGATATTGTCAAACTTCGAAACTATGAAGGATGTAGTACTGGCTTCACTTAAGATTCAACATATGGGGACTGTTGTGATTTTGAGAGGCCCTCTTCTCAGTCCCATTGCCAGCAGCGGTACATCTGAGGGGGACATGAAAGAAGGCCTTCTTTGTAGCCGCTCCTAGATTGTGGAATGCTCTGCCTCAGCAGGTCACGTTGCCCCCCCCTTTTTTTCTTCTGCCAACAGTTGAAGACCCACCTTATCAGGCAAGCTTTTAACAATCATAACCGAGTCCCTGAATGTTGTTTTTAGTTGAGGTTTTTAAAATTTTTAACTGTTTTTAATTATTCAATGTATTTTAATTATTACTACAGTTTAATTGTTTTGAACGTATAATTTACTGTGTTTTTGGTAGAAAGGTGTCCAATCAATCAATCAATCAATCAATCAATCAGTCAGTCAGTCAGTCAGTCAGTCAGTCAACCAACCAACCAACCGTTACCTAATTGTTTTTTTCTCTTCTGTAATATTTGAAAACTATGTAACTTTTTGAAGACCCACCGGGAATGCCCAAACTCAAGGGCAGACTGAAGAAGCATCCTTGACCCTGATCTAAGTTCCCAGTTCCATGCATATATTACAAACCTATTCAGTATCATATTTGCTACTAAGAGGTATAAATTTCATAAAAAAATTAAAAATTACCTTCCAAAGATTCTATGCCAGTTGCTTGTGCCAGCAAATCCTCATGCCTTGCAACCACCTAAAAAAAATCAAGACTCGTTATTATCTGGAGGATAATTTTTAAAAAGTAGGTCTGCCATTGGCAAAGAATCTGCCATTTAAGAAATACAATGACAATTCCCCTTTGATATGCAGAAGATGTTCCATGTTTCTACAGATTATGATTCTACAGAATTCTACACCATCAAGTTATTCAAAAGTCCTAATAGTATTTCACTAATCCATCTCAGATGCAACACTATCATGTTTGGCACCAAGGACATGAGCAGCAGGTGAACTTTAGTTTACTAAGAACCTCTACTTTCTACTTTAGCACATTCGTAAGGAAAAAAGTGAAAACATGTGTGCCTTCATTATTAATGAATTTCACTATCATCAGGAGGTCAAGGACAGGCAGGCAGACTCCAGTTAGCTAAATCATGGTTTATTGTTAAGCTGCAGATTATTCAGTCAAGATCACAAACAAAATGCCAAAGTCCTCTTGGCATAATTATGCCTCCAGAAGGATGCCAATATCAACAGCAGGGGGCAATTTTTAAAGTTGAACATTTCTCACTTCTGTCCAGCAGCTCCTGTGGGATCCCTTTTGTCATTTGAAAGCTGTGGGAGCACTGAGATGGAAGGAGGAAGTCCTTAATTAGCAAAAATTGCCATTGCCAGTAATCCTGCTGGCTAAGATTTTCATTAATCAAAGTCTTCCTCTTCCTGTCCCACAGTTGCTGCAAGATACAAGTTGGAAATGTTAAATTTGCAAAAAATCACACTCCACTGATGACATAATCTGCCTTTTGCAGCTTTAGTTATGTGGAGCCCGAAGCCCGGGTCAGGAAGGTCTAGTGGGAGTGCCGTCTCTCCCCAAGGCATCAAAGGGGACACAGACAACTCCACCACCCACCCCTCCTAGACTGACACATTGAGGAGTTGACACCCAGGACTTAGTGAGGGGAATGAGTGGGTTAACAGTGGCCACACAGACTGGTCCTGAAATGGCGGGAAAGGAGGAGAGGGGGCGGGCTGTAGTGGAGGTGGGAGCGGGGGATATAAAAGTGAACCGGGATGACATTCCAGGGGGCTGGGAAATGATATGGATGCAAGATCCATGGACCGGACGTTGGGAGCAAGTTTGGGTTCCTAAGCACGAGGCTGAGAATCAGAGAAGGAAGGGACTCCCTCAGCGCCCATCATACTGGGGTGAGCCCGAAACCTGCAAGTGGAGACAGAGACTGAGAGAGGAAAAGGAGGCGGCAGAGAGAGAAAAGGAAGCCAAAAGAGCATGGCATTTGGAGGAACTGAAGAGACTGTGCTGCTTCCCGGACCTTGGGATTCCAACCCAGGGGAGGCATCGCTGATATGGGGGTGGTCCGGTGATGAGGAAACCCTCCCCCTTCTAATACCCGGATGGGTGAAGATGAGCTCCAAGAATCCGAAAGGATTTTGGCAGGTCCATGGGAGCACAAGTCTACCAATCCGTTTGAAACAGACATGTTGTTACCCCTGTCTGAGCCATTGCTCCCACAGAAGAAGTTCACCCCAAGCTTTCATGATGTTCCATTGCAGTTGCCAAAGTTAATAAATACAGAAACTTGTTTTGATTTAAAGACGTCTCCTGGTTTATTGGGGGAGAGGGAGGACCCGCTTACCAAACCTTCACAAGTTACACCAACAGGATTCAGTCACATTTTCATATTGGCTTGTTTGTAAAATCATAACTAAAAGAATTCACTGAACCTACCAGTTCGGATGCATCAAGAGCTAGTGGCTAGCTTAAATTTACCATTCTGGAGAAGGAGGAAGAAAGCACCTAAGCTGACTCTTCAGTATAACTGGCAATCATATTGCTGCTATTATATTAGAAGCTTTACCATCTTTCTCCTATAAGCAGTTTCACCTACTACTCAGTTCAAACACTATGAACTATTAATTCAAAGACTGAAATCATTTTATTAGCATAGTAAATCACAACTAAAGTAAGCCCATTTGAATCAATTGAACATACAAAGGAACTGACTCAACAAATCTCCACTGATTCAATAGGCCTAATCTAGTGCAATATACTGTACTACACTAAGCAAGATTTCAGCCACTGCTTGTCATCTCAAAGCATATTTTCCTTATCTAGGATCTCAAAACAGCTTATGTTAGGCCTTAGCTACCCTGTTGCTACATTCAAATAATTAACATTTAAGCTAGAAAAAATGGCATTTTAAGAACATAAGAAAAAGTAAATACAATAGGTGTGTACTGTAAATTGTTCTCACAATCATAAGAGTTGTCTATCTGCTTTTCAGTCCTGATCAGGATTCCTACTCTGTATGCTAAAGAGAGCTAGAAAAAGCTGTGGAATGTTACTCAGCAAATAGATATATGTATTTTTTTTTGGGGGGGGGGAATGTAGTTATCCAGTATAGTAAGTCAGTTCTACAATTTTCCCCTTAAAGCAGAACAAATGGTGTGTTCATTCTTACTTTCATGAGTGAAGCAAATCAAATATAAAAATATCCATACTATGTGAACAGGTAACACATGCTCTAATTCTATAACTTAAATTTTCATTAACTATGGTATTTCTTCCTTGTTCATGTTCATCATGTTTCTTCAGTATCAGCACTTAACACTGCAAGCATGTGTTAATATCCATTTACGGTCCAAATATTGAAGAAAATCCAAGTTACCTATTTGAAATCCTATTAAAATGAACTCAACTATGTATATTTGAGTGCCTGCTATAGCAGAAAAATCAATTCTCCATAAATATACCAGAAGTTAGCACAAGTTGGATGTTACATCAAACTACTAGTTAAGTTCCTTACTTAGCAAGTTAAAAAACAGACCATACAATGCTAATTCCGATTGTCATAATCTTTATGTAGACCCACATAATATACACACTGCACTTACTTGCAAGTGGAGCTCTTTATCTAGCTGACTGATTCCTTGAGCAAGCTTTGCTAATTGTTCAGCTATAACAGCTTGATGAATAGATTGTGAGGTGTATGCTTTTACATCAAAGTCATCCCGTAGAAAGTCTGCATAACATTCTGGAAAAAACAGAAAAGGAAACATTTTTTGTGTTCCTCCTCTCCTAATATGTAAGCAAGGTTTATTTCTGATAATAATGCTTTGCACAGATTGAAAACTTCCAGAAAATTAAGCCTGAAGAGTGTTTTCCTCTAAGCATACAGAAATGCACTGGTGTCACTAATTGTGGCTAAATTGCTTTGGCATGCATTGGGGGAGAGAAGCCAAATGATTAATCCTGGTACAGGATCACCAAATGGCTATATTTTTATACATGATATTTGAATATCTAATTTCCACATTTTGCAGTTTCTGTGATTGTTTTTGTTACAGTCTATTTACATCAATAAACTATGCTCTCTCCCTCTCTCTCTCTCTCTCTCTCTCAAGCTTTGAAGTATTTCGCCAGCTCTACCCATCCACAATTATTCTTCACCAACTTTTTTAACAGGTCAGGAATTTATTAGGGTCAGGCTTTAAAGCAAGTAGTGATACCAAGAGCAGAAAATGGACACGTAACTTCTGAAAAGCATCAAGGGGGACGACAGAGTCTCTCTCTCTCTCTCTCTCTCTGACCCCACCAATGACACGGCCGCTAAAACCAATCCGAAATAAAACCTCTGTCGCTCAGACTCTTTATTGGTCTCCTGAGAGGCCAGGGGGTTTTGAAGAACCGTGATCCTTAGTAACGAGCAATTTTCTTCCGTGACAAGCAGGCAAAGTAGGGAATGAGGCAAGAACGTGGCAGCAGGAAAACACTGAAGGGACTGAAACAAAACTTGCTAGGAAGTTAACCCCACTGAACACAGCGGAGCTTCCTTCTAAGGAAGCAGTGCAAGAGCTGCGCCGACAGCCCACCTCGCCCCGACCCCTCTCTCTCTCTCTTCCTCTTTGCTTTCCACCCGAACTCCTCCTTTACCGTCTCCCAGCAACTCCCCAATTGCCGGCTCCGGAGGGGCTGCGGTTGCAGTTCCGACACCAGCGGCGTCTCCCCTTCCTTCCATGCTGGCAGCCGTGACGCACTAAGTCAGCGACACCACCAACAGCGTAGCTCTCTCCTCCACCTAACCGGCCTGGCCCGAGGGCGTCACCATAGAGATAGAAAGAAAATACTGGCGCTTGGAAATAGAAGTATGATGCACTGTGCTAAGGTTTTATGGAGGCTTCTCCCTAGAACTGGACGGTTTTTTCTCCCTAACCTCCTGAACGAAGGCTGTAGGTTTTTCACCCTAAAGACGCCTCAAGGAGCCCCCACTCTGAATCAAGAGAACCAGGGCCAGTGGGGAACTTTAAATGATGCCGTCACACCTAGTCTGCGTGTCAATCTATATTGTTCTATCTCTATGGAGGTAGACTCACTCTGCGTCGGTCACAGGGTTGCTTCGGACGAGTCCCATCTGTAGAGAAGCGGAGATGGGAGGAAAGGTGGCTAAACGGGGAATAGTAAGCTTGCAAAACATAGTACACTTTTGTTATGAAGAAACGCTTTCCCTCAACGTTTGAGCCTATAAATGCCAGGGTTGCTTTTTAAGTCATTTTTTTCAATGTAATAATATCGATGTCTATAATTCCTTGTATCTGTGGTCCGGTCGCAGTATTATTTCCTACAGCCCAACCCCACTCCCGTTGCATGATGGGAGTTACAGTTCCTTGCGGAAGTTGGTGCTTGAGTGCCGGTGTTACTACAGGAGGCGGGTTCTAACGGTAGTGTCGTTGCCTTGGGAACAAGTGCGACGGGGTCCACTGGAGCCTTTTCTGTTCTAGCCGCCCCAAGAGGTCCCAAGCCGTCCCTTGCCTTTGTTGGCCGAAGCGCTCAAGGAAGAAAACCCCACAGCGTTTCTCCTGGGAAGCAAAACCCTCTGGTTTCCATAGGGCTTGCTCCCGCGTGTCTTCAGAGGACTGCAACCTGATTATTATTGTTGTTATTATTTTAATATCGGTATGAAATGTTGAGGTTGACTGGATTGTAACGCTCCGTGTTTTATTTATTTATTTATTTATTGGACTTATATACCGCCCCATAGCACTACAAGCACTCTCCGGGCGGTTTAGTAGCTCATGCGTGTGATTTTAAAAGAAGTAAATCAATGAGGAAGAGTAGGAGGAGTTGAGAGATGGGAAACGAAAAGTAAAGGCAAATGGCTGGACGTGTGACAGTGTATGTGGGGTGGGGGGGGAGAGAGATGAAAACGTGTTACTAAGCGTTTAGCCCAATCAGCCGTTACTGCTATGATGTTTCTCTCAGGGTGGATCTGATTGAAATCGTATTTTTAAAAAAATTTCCAAAGGATTTTTTTGACAATTTAAATAAAAGATTGATTTTTAAAATTGAAATTATGATTTAACTCGAATTGATTTTTAAAATCATTTATATTATCCGCCCTAGTTTCTCTCTAGACCCAGCTGGTGAGTGGCTTCTTCAGGATAACCACTTTTGTTTCTAAGCCCTTACGCTTGAAGTTTCCTTATTTGCTAAACATTTTTCATTGCTGGTTAACTAATAGAAGAACTTTGTTTCTTGTAGATTTTAAGACTTTAGGCTTCATTTACATGTACAGCCTGTTGAGTGATGGTGGTGAGGCTGTCTCTGGAGGTTTATTTTGGAGAAGCCTCGCTGCAGAATGGTTAAACTAAGGTACTGCAGCCAAACCTGTGCTCAAGATCCCAGGGTTCAATCCCAGGTAGCCGGCTCAAGATCCCAGGGTTCAATCCCAGGTAGCCGGCTCAAGGTTAATTCAGCCTTCTAGCCTTCCAAAGTTGGTAAAATGAGTAGCCATCTTGTGGGGGGAGGGGGATGTGTAGCCTTCATGATCAATTTGTAAACCATCCAGAGAGGGTATATAAGCAGCATGCTTTTGCTTTATAGCCATACAAAATTACATGGGAGGAGCAATAGGAGTGCATGTTCCTGGGAAGTGGATGCATTTCATTTCTCCCTGTTGAGGTGCCTCTCTTTGAAGATTGTAAGATGAAGGATTGTGGCATGAGGTCTGAACTGAGAACTGAAAAAAATAGTGATTAGAGAACATAATTTCCAAAATTAGTACTGGAGTATATTAATTACATAGATAAAATATTATTAAAATTCGGTATCTGTTAAATTGCTCTGGATTAATTGACAAATCCTTGTATGATTCTTATTATTGTTTCGAAATCTGATTTGTATTTGATGTTTTTTTAATCCTAAAAGTATTATATTTTTGTGGAAAATATAAGAATACATTTCTTTAAAAAACAACAGTTACAAAATCAATCTGAGAACTAAGGGATGATTTTAATATTGCCAACTGGATTTCTCAAATATATATTTTAAAAAGACATGCATAATCTTTATTACGTATGACAGGTATGGTTGTTGTGGGTTTTTCGAGCTGTTTGGCCATGTTCCAAAGGTTTTTCTTCCTAACATTTTGCCAATCTCTGTGGCTGGCATCTTCAGAGGACAGGAGGTAGAACTCAGAAAGCCTTCAAGAATACATTATGACAGGTATGTTGGAGATATATATTATATAGAAATTTACAAGGGGTTTAACTGTAGCTGAAATAAAGTTAAATGTCTGAATTATTATGTTACAATATATTTATTTCAATACAGTGGTACCTCGCTTAACAAGCACACTGTTTAACAATGAATCCGCATAGCAACGCGTTTTTTGCGATCGCTAATGCGATCGCATTGCGATGTTTAGATAGGCCAAAAATCGCATTGCGATGATCGGTAAGCGTTTTGCTTACCGATCTTCGCATTGCGATGTTCTAAAAACAGCTGATTGGCGGTTCCAAAATGGCTGCTGGAAGAATAAAATGGCCGCCCACTCCATTTTCATGCCCTGCCCTCAAAAATGGCAGCCGGATGGGGAATCTTCTCTTACCGGTGAGTTTTCGCCCCATAGGAACGCGTTAAACGGAATTTAATGCGTTCCTATGGGGTTTTCAGTTCCGTTTAGCGATGTTTCCGGATAGCGACGTTAATCCTGGAACGGATTAACGTCGCTATGCGGGGCCCCACTGTATATTTGTTTTAAATTTGTCTTTTGAAATATAAGCAAGCATTGCAGAAATAAATCCATTTCTTAATCTTAAAACAATATGTAGAAACAAAGATCTGTCATTAATATATATAAAAACTATAGGTAAAATATATTTGCATTATAATAGGAAAATCCCATTGTTATGTTGCTTTCACAAAGACAGCAAAGCTTTCTGTGAATTTAGCTTTAAATAAATAATTCAATAACTTCCTTCATATCAAACCCTGAAGTATGCATAAGTTTCCACTTAAGGAAGTTCCTTTTCAAAACGGTGCCAAGCAATGTCATTGTAGAATTGCTTTAAGTAAATTGGCTATATTTTGCTGCAGCAAATGAGAAAATATATTTGCCTAAATTATATATTGTAATATATGTTGATTTTTACATTTTTCTGGTAGAATAAATATGTTTGTCAGAAGTATGCACAGATGTGTTTTGTTGTAGCTCTTAATCACTAGCTTATGCTGACCAGAATCCAGTTTGAGACTTATGCATGCGTAAGTGAAATTACAGTCGCAAATTGTAGCTCATTAATAAGATAATGATTGCATTCCTGGTTGCATGAGACACACATAAATACTGGCATTTCATCCATTAGTGGTAATTCACCACTGCAACTTACACGCTTTCTCTAATGTACATGTAAATTGTCAGTAGGGTTCTGGTCAGTAGGTTTAACACTTCAGTCCTATTCATGTCTACTCAGAATTAACCCCACTAAGTTCAGTGAGACTTTCTTCCACACTAGTTTGTATACTAGAGCTTTAGCATATTTTTATCAGTTTGTTTTCCTTTTTATTATACTTTTTTCATTTTATATTATACTTCAGTCCTAGTGAGACCCTCATCACTAGAATTCAGGAGAGCATGAAGCAAAGAAACCTGATCTTTGTGCACATAGATTGGCATTGAAGGCTGCTATACACAGGCAAGCTTAATTATGGTGAAAGATTGAAAAACTGATTGCCTGTGGTAAAATGCCTGTGTTATTATAATGTACATCCAGTTCAAATGGCGTCTGCTTCTAATGTTCTAGTGATGGATGATATGTGTTGGACGTCTTTCAGTAAAATCCCACAACCTTCTATGCTCAGCTTTATTACCAAAGTAAATTTTAGAACAACATTAAACAATAATATAACACATTTTATAAAACTGCATTTTAAAAAATCTTTATTTTATAAAATTTGCATATTGTATAGCTGTTGGAAACATACCAAAAGCACTCCTGTCCATTCATTCTATTTGTGCGAATTCACTCCGTTAACCAATTTACAAAAACAGTAAAACACTCAACAATTTCAATGATTTTCTTCCTATATAATAAGGTGCTACTTAGTGTAGGACTAACACTTAATCATGTACATAAATAATAGGTATGTAAGAACTCTGAGTTTATGGTGCTGAAACCCACAGAGTTGACACAAATGCTACGTGGGGTTATGCTCCTAGAATACTTTGGTTACTTGTTTCTGTTTTGTCTTTCCAGTTATAATAACTAGTTGTTCATACTTTTAAAAAAGTATTGTCAAATCAATATCTAAATCTTGATTTTTAATTCCTAGTATCATGAATTCCTAGTACAATCAATTACATTGCAAATACCTATCCTCTAGCACAGTGGTCCCCAACCTTGGGCCTCCAGATGTTCTTGGACTTCAACTCCCAGAAATCCTGCCCAGCAGAAGTGGTGGTGAAGGCTTCTGGGAGCTGTTGTAGTCCAAGAACATCTGAAGGCCCAAGATTAGGGACCACTGCTCTAGTTTAGCAGTGTTTAAGGTTGTATTGCAAGACTTGGACACAATGGCTGAAATCCATTAGTAAGTTGTAACTAGAGTAGCCCCATTGAATTAGTGAAATTTAAAGAGTAGCTGAGTTTCCAAATTCCAACTGATTGAATGGGCCTACTGTACTCATGATTTTCTATTGATTTTCAGCCACTTTTTCATGCCATATACATTATCATTGGTGTTTAATATATTACAAGGAGCAATTATTTGCTGCTTGTTTCAGTATATTCTATTTGCACTGACTGATTGTACTGTTATTATTGCATTTCTGTTACTTATAAGCAATGTTGCCTTTGTGGTGTTAACACCTGGAGGTAGCCCTGAGAGATTATTTTCGGAACAGTTCAGAGTTTGTATCATTTTCTCAAATCATATCAAGTTCTTCTTAAGATCCTTCCTCCCTTCCTCCCTCCCTCATATTATAGACTTTGAAATAAGCAGAGCATGGAAAAGTTACTCTTTAGAATTACAGAAGCCCTAATCAGGGTCACTATGCCAGTGGTGAATTCCAGGAATTGTAATCTAACAATAGAATTTAAATATAAACTCTGACAATAACACTGTGATATAAGTTCAGTTGTATTTGTGTCCAATGCCAGCCAACTCTGTTGAAGTTATGATGAAATGTTCCATCCACTTTTCCAGTAAATTATTCTTTAGGTTTATCAAATAAGTTTAATCTAGCATAATATTCAGAGAGAGAAATTAGAGTTGTATCCATCTGTAGCATAAAAGAAAATGTTTCTTCTGGTGCTAAATGAAATGTCACAATGATGGAATTCCTTGAATTTTGTTTTATACTTGTCACAGAAGTCATAGATAAGATGAATTCAGTAGCTGTCCTTCAAGAAGCGAGCTTGCGCATAGCCTAGTAAGACAAGGTTTAAAGGAAATTGAGGACAAAGTATTTTTGAAATGGTAATCTGTTTTTCAAAATTCCTGTAATTATATCTGCATAAGTCATGAATCTGATACTGATACATGTAAGATTAAAGAATCAAATATCACTTTAAACAAATATTCTGGATCTTGGAAGGGTACTTGCTTATTTAAAACATATATTTATGACTTAAAATAAATATATAAATGTCATGGCAAGGTGTTTCATCTTCTGCCTTCTCAGTTGCATTGAGTAAATGTGCTTTATCCCAGGAGAGAGTTATATAACATAGAGTATTCCAAAATTGAATGGGTATGCTCAGAGGAAGAAATGTATGTGGATTAACTACCATTATTTTCTTCAAAGAATGCTAAAAAGTTTAGTGAAGGTACTGTATTTTTTTCCTTGGGTACCCCTGTTAAAACTCTTTGAGCACTTAATATATGGATAAATTCTGTATTGCTTTAACACAGCACACAACCTCCTGTATTGCTTTAATAAAGCACACATTAAAAAGAAGCATAAAATTTTTTAGAAGATCAGTTAGAAGAATCAGCCAGTGGGCCACAGAAAAATTGGCTCTTTTAAGCACCATTAGACAGAAGTAATTTCCCCCACACCAAACTATTGTAGTAACAAAAGTTTGTGGAATGAGAAAGCATATAATTTTAGGGCTGAAAAGCAATATGAGATATTGTAGTCTGTTTGCTAAGCAAAACCTATATTTTCTTACTTTATGTAAAAAAACTGGATTTACAATGCAGAAGTTTCATACTAAATTAAACCATACCTCTTCCTGAACATCAAGCTCTTCATTCTGGTTTGTTTCTATTAATTCAAGTGGTTCCTTTGATTCCTGCATCAGTGAAATCTAGACAGAATGGTTAAGAATTGTTATGACTGTGTAATAAGGGTACCATAATGTTGCTGTTTCTGTGCTATTAAGCAAATACTGTATGTTTAATTCTGTAAAGATAGGTACTGGGTGTTTTTAAACAGTATGTACTTTCTTAAATAGCTTGTTTCTATTTGGTTTGAGGTTTATGTCTTTTCTATAAAAAGAGGTTTAAATACAATAGCTTGGATCCAAAATGCCTTAACTAAGTGAAAAAGCAATTGCAGTGTGCAAATCGGGATTGAATTTTTGCCAATTCTCTCTTCCTAATACAGAGAACCAGGCCAGATTCTGTGCTGTTCCAAAAGATTCTGAGTCCAAATACATTGATTTAAGATTGCATTGCCGTTTTCAGAAAGGCATATTCCATGACTAAACTCCTCTGAGAGATATTACGCTCCCACCAAGTCAGCATAGGTAAATGAAGAAGACAAAACTATGTTTGGTTTCTACCTTTTCAAATATAGGATCTTGGATGTCTCTATACATGATCTGATTCTGTATATGGAGTACAGCATCATGGACAGTCAGGAAGAGCATGTCTTTTTGAATATTATCATCAAAAAAACCACACTGTTCAAGTGTTTTGATAATGTTGTCTGAAAATAAAAGTTATGGTAAAGCAATGATTTAATTAATATATAAAAATACATTCCTATACACTAAAGCATCACTATATCTGGAAAACTATTCATATGTTTTGAAGGCAACTAAGAAACATATTTAATCTGCATCCAGTGCAGTGCTTCAGTGGATGCTAGTCAATCTCTCTCCTGTGGTCCCATTCCATATACCCTAAAATCTATTTCATGGGGTTTCCCAGCTTTCAGACACAGGTTTTTAATGTCACAGAAGACTGAGGGGAAGAAAATCTTACTTTAACCATAAGCACCATGTTGGAATTAGCCATAAATAAATAAATGAACAGTTTACTGTTTTCAACAAAAATATATGTACATAACTTCAAAAGGAATTGAAAAATAAATGACCAATCACACTGTAACAATTGGTTCCAAATGTACATGATAGCTCTTACAGAAGATTATGGTGTGCTGTTGCTCCCTGAATAGGAATCTGAAGCTTCCAATACAGTTACTACATGAGGTGGTTGCCGAAAATTTACAGGGATCTGTGGCTTTGGCATCCAGCCCCTCCCAAGATGCTGGGATTCATACAGAAGTTACAGTGGTGATGTCATTCTTGGGAGCCAGGAGATGGTCCCATAGGGCAGTGGTCCCCAACCTTGGGCCTCCAGACATTCTTGGGCTACAACTCCCAGAAGCCGTCACCACCACCTCTGCTAGCCAGGATTTCTGGGAGTTGAATTCCAAGAACATCTGGAGGCCCAAAGTTGGAGACAACTGCCATAAGGAACAGCGGGAACTAGTCTACCCCTAGGGGATGGAAGTTATAGTAGGCTTTGCTTCCAGAGGATTAGAGAATTTGGTGAGAAGGGGAGTGAGGGAGGTAGCTATCAAGGAAAGGGAAGGCAACCAGCCCCCTTCAGGAGCAGGACTTTCTGACCCAGGGAAGGACAGTATCACTTAAGCCAGAGAGGGAAGCAAGTTCCCTAGAGAAAACAGGGGAAATGTTGCTGTGTAACAGGAAGAAAAAGATAATCCTGTACCCAGAGAGGAGGGAAGCTCCACCTTGGCTTTTGAACAGCTGTTAGAAAGAAAAGTTGCCCCTTTAGTCCCAGAAGGGGAAACAGACCAAGGTTGCTAAGGCTACAAGAGGAAAAGGGAGAGCTCCCAGTGAAGAAGACTGTTGAGATACCCAGGAGGAGTGATTGAACAAGAGTCCCCCAGAAGAGAAGGTTCAGGGTGACTGGGACCAGATCTATAAAGAGGGGGTGAGGGGTTTGGGACCAGTTCCACAAGGAGAAATCCAGAGATATGAGTATAAGCCACCCAAATGACCCGTGTACTGGGAGGACGTACTGGAGGAGGGAAGACATCTCAACTCCATCCACACCTAGATGTGGCAAAGAAGGAGAAGGCACGACTACTAATATGTGAAGAAGTGAGGGCAAGTAATGAGAAAGAAAAAGGGTCAAGAGTGCAGTCATACCACCCCGCCCTCAGAAAAGCACCCTTAAGAGATGGAAGCCTTGAGTTCCAAACTGGCATAATTGAACAGCATGAAGGCTAGGTCAGGGGTCTCCAAACTTTTTACAGTGATGGCCACACTGGATACAGTATTTTCAAAGTTTTTGAGGACCAAAGGAACAGGAATGTGTGCGCGCACACACAGGTATGTGCATGCTCTCACACACAGCTTCCTTCGCGCACTCACAGGAAACCCCACATACACACATGCCCACCCTGCACATGTGCGCACACAGGCTGAAGGCAACGGGCTGGACAAAATGACAACACAAGCCGTAGTTTGGAAACCCCTGGGCTAGGTGAAGGGAACTGAGTCTCCATGAGAAATGTTGGCTACCCCCATGAAAGGAACCAGGGAGTGGAGAAGAAGAGAATATAGGACTAATGTTTTGGATTTGGGAACCTTGACATTATTGGAAAGTAGTTATTTCTTTTGTCCCTAACCCAAGTTTCAGTTAATCCTGTTCAAGCTGATTCATTGTTGAGTGTGTGAGACCTAATATGGAAGGAGATATCACCAAAGCTGCTGGTGATATGTGGTGCTGAAGGACAGCGAAAAAGACAAGTAGGTCCTAGTTCATGTCAAGCCTGAACTATCTCTAGAGGCAAAAATGTTGAAACTGAAACTTCCCTACTTTAGGCACATCATGAGAAGGCAGGGAAAAAAAAATAATGCCAGGAAGGGGAAAGGCAGCAGGAAAAGAGGACCATATATGAGATGGATAGGCTTCAGAGCCTCGTGGTGCAGTGGTTAAACCGCTGTACTGCAGCCAAAACTGTGCTCACGACCTGGGGTTCAATCCCAGGTAGCGGCTCAAGGTTGATTCAGCCTTCTATCCTTCTGAGGTCGGTAAAATGAGTACCCAGCTCGCTGGGGGGGGGCAATGTGTAACCTACATAATTAACTTGTAAACCGCCAAAGACTTTCTTGGGATGAAAGCAGATTGAAATAGAAAGCAGATTGGATAAAAATCAATGGTTTTTAAAAAAATCAATTTAAATCACTTAAAATTAAAATCAGATTTTCATTTAAAATTTAAATTGTAATTTAAATCAGTTTAATTTAAATCAACTCCATGTGCTAGGAAACCTCAAAACCTTGGAAGTAGTGGTTGAAGGATTGGAAACTTAATTAACAGTAAAAGGCTGCAGTTGATGGTGCCATAAGCCTTGCATGGGTAGAACTGCACCAAGAGGATTTCAGCCAATGTTTGTGAAATATTCACTAATCTTGTACCAAACAATAAAACCCTACAGACCTCTGTTTCTTCTATATGAGCCTGCCTTATCCTGTATCTCCAGCCCTTGCTCCATCTAATCCAGTATTTACGGCAATTGGTGGCATTTCTATGGTCCTTGGGGAAGACTTTCTCAGGCTTGCTATTTGATAAGTGACCACTAGCAGCACTACCAGTCAAATTACACTGTACAGTTACTTGTTAGTGAATTTCTACTTACCTAGATGGGATGCAATATATACTTTCACATCAATCCTCTCAAATTCTTTGACAATCTGAAAAATATAAAGGTGGGAATATCTTTAATAGAATAGCTTGTTTTCAGAATTAAATTTAAGATGCACTGTTTAAAACTAGATGCAGTAGGATTCTGTTAGATTAATGCTGTGTCTAAATATAAACAATGAAGATAATCATATCCTGGACCCACTTTTCTACTCTAGTGGAGACTCAAGTGGCATACAAAAAAATTAAAATCAAACTGATTTAAGTTAAAAACTATAATATGTACATATTTATAACATTATTTGAAAAGTATACATGATGAAAAACACCTCTATCTCAGTTGCCTCCTGGCAATTTACTTTCTTTGTACTTGAATTGCAGAAAGATCTAGCAACTTCCATAAAAGCTAATGGCAAGAATTATTCTACTCAGAAAGACAAGCAAATAATCTCACCGTTTTCATTACTCTCACTGCGACTACATCCACAAAAGATACAGCTCCAAAATCAAAAATAAGACTATGGATAGGTACTTTGGGGACATTGACTTTGACTGGGAGTTCTAAATTCCAGTCCACCTGGATTTCTACTTCTTTGGTTGGAATGTCAAGATCTACAGGATCTTCTGGGTCCTCATCTGGTTCAAAAGCTTCGTTCGTTGTACCAGAATCACTGATGATGCCGTTCTAAACAAAATATATAGATACTATATTCAATGCAATACTTATTAACAAAGGAATGAAAACTGATTTTCGCTAATGATAAAACATTTTAATAAAATAATGGGAAAATCCAGCTTTTCATATTTTTGTACACGTGATGTGATTCAGCATGCTCTTATTTTGCCAGTTGTTGAAATCTAATGTAGAAAATTGCATATGTAAGAGGTGTGTATATTCAGTATCCTCCACACTGTAAGAAAAGAAATGACTGTTGCCAAGAACAAATGTCAGATTCTATATCCAGAAGAAATTTTGGAGATTGACATAATCTAAAATAAATGTGGAGATTCCAAGGAAAACAAATAGAACACTTTCTTCTAGTCTCCACCATGATGTGAGTGAAAGGAGAAGAATACGATCCTGTCTATAAACCCAGCTGCTCTAGTAGAAGTATCTGCCCTTCAACCTGCAGCTTTGAGATCTGTCTCCTTTGCCATTATAGCACTCAGGCTTTCTAGGACAGCAGTAGAGAGGGATATAGAGAAAGGAGCAAGGAGAATTAAATCAGGGGATATGGTGGGCATCAGCACATTGACATGTAAACACAGGCTTCATTTGTCGGTCTGACTGCACATGCAGACATCTGCACATGTGCATAATTAGGAGTAGAAAAAATGAATTTCCTTGAACATCTGTTTCCAGCTTGGTAACAAGTGAATTTTTGCATTCAGAGCTCTGAGATCTTGCTATAATGGAATGTCAACTTGTTGCTCCAAACCTTCTGCCTTCTCTCCCTTTAGCACTTTCTGTTCTCCAGCGCTTGTTAAGACCTTTCCTGGTCTATCTTCTCTGAGCTCCTTCCACAGAAAGTGCTGTACACCCACAGTCAGAAGATCTCTTTGTCACAAGGTAGGATAGTCTTCACACACCAGCAGTACATATACTTTAGGTGCAATGAAAAGAACTACTTGTAGAGATTACTTTAGCCATAGAATGTTTTCCCGTTATGTACAAACCTCTGACCTGCCACTTTTCATTTTGGTTTTCTGCTACCTGCTGTAAACATTGGCAGACTATTTCTACCTATTTCATTTCAAAGCAAAACAGAAATGCAGACTCATTATTGTGCACTGAGGTAAAAAGAGTATTCCTCATGAAACGGGCTGCAAGTATTTGAACCACTGAATGGAGATGGAAGACTGATACTTTACTTTTGTTGCTCTTAATTTTCCTTTCTTGATCAGCTTTTGTATCTTTCTCAGAGCTTTAAGCCTCTTGTTATAAACCTTCATGGCGTCAAATCCTACCTGCAGAAAACAGATTTGAACAATACTCAATTATGTATTTTTCAGGTATTCTGCAAGAAAAAGTCACACTGGTGCAATCCATTGAAATCAATGAACTTAAGTGCATTGCTGTTCATTTTTTTATATTTATATTCTTCCCCCCCACCCTCCTTCAGTCAGGAAATCCCAAAACATGTACATGGAATTTCCGAGCAGCCTCCTATCCAGGCAGTACCCAGAAGTAGACATGTGTAGTCTTGAATTTTTAAAAAACTTATGTTCCTGAGGATTGTGCCCTGTTGTGGACTGTGACCAATGTAAACAGAAAGTATTCAGAAATGTTATGATTTACTTACAGTAGATTTGAGGCTGCTTCTCAAACCATCAATGTTAGCATAAAAAATAGGACTTGAAAACTTGAGAATCTTCACGCCTTCTGGTTCAACAATCTATTGTAAAAATAATATTGAGCTGAAATAGGTATGAATTGTAAGGATTCTGCCATTCTATCTGTGGTGGACTGCTAAATGCCTTTCATTTTGTTCCTTTTTGGCCACCCTATTGGACTTGCAGATCATTGCCACATTATCCCTTCCTAGCAGCTTACCCTTCCCAGTCTCCCATTTCCATTATATGCTTAAGAATTACCAATCTATTGCAAGATCAAAATAATTCATTTAAGTAAGATAGCAGATGTTCATAGGAGTTAATGAATTATAGCTTCCCTTATGTGTTATGCCATTGGGAACTACATATTACACCATAAATTGTGGCAAGAAATACTTCATTCTGCAGTGAACTCTGTCCTGGCCAGAGTATCTCCTTTTTCCCACTCTGCCCATTGTAAAACAACTGAGGAATCAATTTCTGCAATGCAGTATTTTATCTTGCACTGCACTTCAACTAACTGGAGGAAAACTGTAATCAAAAAAGTACTTGTACAGTATCTGTGTGTGAATGAGAGTCTCACATTTTTGTATGTTTTGGTGTTCTTATATAAGTCTGTGCCAGGAACACCACCAAGGCTTCCCCATGAAGGACTGTCAATAAATAAAAAAAATAAAATAAGTAATTGATCACAGGATATATCAAAATGCTAAATTAATGCAGAACAGTTGCAAAACAGTGTTCACTGAAATGCTATAAATCACTTAATCTTTGAACTGGATAGCAAGAACAGATGGAGCTAACTGATTTGCTTTGCAATAGTTGGCAACTTATTGATTTGGTTCTACAAATGATCATTATTATGGGTTCCTTATTATTTGAGTCCAACACATTGTCTTTCTTTGCAATCAACCAGGATAAAGAAGGATGTCTTTCCCTGACACACAGATTTTCTACATGCAAATAAATGGAAGTATTTGCATGCATGTCCATGACAGAGAGTGAGCCAAAGAAAGTGCAAACATTTAAAAACAGAGCTTTTCAGCCTCAAACTCAATAAAAGAGATAAATGCTTTTGAACTTGCTAACCTAAACACCTTGCTCAACATACCCATCTACCAATTGGCATGGTTGAAAATATAAAACAGTAATTGGTAATTTTACTTCTATGTAAAACCACAGAAACCGCCTTGTTTGTATCATACTTACAATTGAACTCTCAGTACAACAGTCAGCAGTGCAAACACCAGACCAGCCAGTAACCCCAAATCCAGTCCCAAAATGATAGATGCTATACAGGTGAAAACCCAAATCATCTGGAAAATAAATTACAAGAAAAGGATAGATCCTGTAGAGTACATTGCAAGGTACAACCTGGTCCTTGCTAAAGTAGTAAATTTGGACTTGACTTGAACCACTTTATATTGCCACTCTACATATAATTAAAGTGGCTTTTATAGGCATGACAGGACAAGGAATGTACAGGCACTGAAACCCTAGTACTCCTTTGTGCTACTGCTCTTCTTTTGCTGTGGCATCAGTGCTGTTTCCATTTCTTCTATTGGTGTTAATCAGACTTGGACATGGTTATTTTTTAAAATATTGTGCTACATATTACTTATTTTAAAAGTAACATAATGGTAAATCATCATTAATAAGTTTTATACTATAATTTTATTTGAAATGGTAACAAAATAATAAAATATACTTTCCAAATTGAAAAACTCCCAAATGACCCCAACAAACCAACATCTTAGAAGTAATGCATAAACATTACTTAATTACAGTGTGATGTTTATGATCATAGACGTTAAGCTACTTCACAAAAATAGTCATATTATCTTCTTCTTACTCCCAAAAATAACACATCACAGGTTACTATTACAGTTAACTTTCATTTGTAACATCCTACTTTCACACTTTGGTGGTGACTTTTCCTCATGCTTTTGCTTCCTCTTGTTTTCAGGATGGCCCTGCCCAGAAAGAGGCAGGAGAAGGAGAGAGGCTTGGGGGACTGCCACCGTTAGTCATGTGAAAGTCTGGACCACAACTGTGCATATATGAAAAGGGTCCTGGTCTTTCATGTGAAAAGTTAAAATAAAAAATAAAATAAAAATATGTCCACATAGAAAACTTGCATTTTAAGAGAAAGGATTCTAGTTTATCCTCCCTCCTAACATACAAGCTTTCTATATTCAATTCAATAATATTTTTCTTTTTCCTTGACAAATGATCACTCATATTACTTCTCCACCTAAAGCAGAGGTGGGCGACATGCATCTCCTGGGCTGCATACAGCCTTCAGCAGCCCCTGGCCCCTGACAATTTTTTTAAAAGTCAGCTTTAAAAGTCCCCTTGTGGGTTTTTTTGGAATTATTATAATTATTAATATTTTTGTTAAAGAAAACATTTTGGAGTGGAGAATCACAAAAATAGTAACCACCCAAAGTCCATGGGAGGGCACATACAGCCCTTGGATTTTGTCCCTGAACAAAAGAATCACAGCTCATATTATAGTTTCCCAACCCAGTGAGAACTAGAAATACTGAATGGAAACTTTAAGAAAAGTCAGAATAACTGCATTAGTTTATGTATGGCATAATACAGCCATATGGAGTTGTTTCAAAACTTATGCCTCCTTTGTTATCTTCAGTGGATTGAAACCTGCTGTTATAACTACAGTAATGACCTCCGTGGACTTCTGCATTTGCTCAATGCAGCACATTGCTTTTTTCCCCTGAAACTCTCAATCATCTGTTATTTATTAAACAAAATGAAAAGCAGAGGGTTCAACAGGATAGATTGTAACTTAAAGTATGGCTGACGATCATTTCTGAATAAAAAGTTAAAGAACTCACAGCATCTGCCTTGCTTTGCCTCCATAAAGCGGGGACATCACACACTTGCATGAACATCCCTTTCAAGTTGGCAATGACTACAGCTGCTAATACAGACTGCAATGAGAGAAAGGCACATTAGCCATGTTGCTCAAGGAAGATATCCACAATACACATAATTTATATGTCAGTCTTGATGTGTCAGAGGAGCAGGAGGAAAAAGAAGAGAAAAAGAGAGGTTTTGTTTATCAGGCAGAAAATTAAAATAATATTATTACATTTGTGCACCTGATGTTGCTTGTTAGTATTGTAGCAGGAAATATAGTAATGTAATACCTTTTGCAAAGGTTCCAGAAGTTTTCCCAAAGCAACAATTGCAATCAGTACAATTGCAGCTGAAATTATGCCAGCAATCTGCAAAGAAAATGCGTTCATCATCAAGAACATTGACTTTCTGATATATTTATGGTGATATTCTGCTTAGAAACCTGTAATTTTTAATAGGAATTTTGGCTTTAAAGCAGTATAAAGACCAACTCAGAACATAAAAGCAAATGCTAAGTAGCACAGTGGTTTTTTTAAAATGTGAATTTTAAGAATTACCTTTAATAACCTTATATTAATGGTTTGGGCATGCATTTTTAATTATCCATCTTTCTATTATTAAATTGCTTATAGATTACTGTTCTGCTTAGAAGGGATAAAAGAGTTATAGGTTAAGAACCCAGAAACATGCATTAGGTTAAAATAAATTGCACTATATGTTTTGTGGGATATTTTTTGACTTCAGTGAAAGTTTTGGTGTATTCTGGTGTAAAATAAAATGCCTGTGTCCAAAGAAAGATTTAAATGTTCCAGTAATCCCCAGAATTGGAAAACTCAAGGTGGAATAGAAGTTAAATAAAATTAGATAAATTAATATAAGACATATACATCTTGTGTACCTCCCAGAGAGGACCAAACTTCTGACTGCCAAAATACTTTACCAGCATAGCAGTGGACATTTTTGTCTAAATATCTTAGACTGGCTAAAACAAAAAGTGCCTTACCAGCAGCCATCTGTAATTTTGCTGTCACATTTTTGCCCAATGGATGGATGGATGGATGGAAGTGGGTGGAATTTGGATATATAGTATGCAGCTGAACAGGTGACAGTATCACAAAATGTCTTTATTACATATCTAGGCCTGTGTTGATTTTGCAACAAAACAGGTGGCAGGTGGTTGTCAGAAAACGCCTAACAAAAATAATATAGATTCAACTGCTTGTCATAACACAGAAGGATGGAGGCAGTTGACCTCCATAGGACAGTATTCCACAGTTGGGTGCTGCTACAAAAAAGGTCCTCATACACGTACCAACCTAAGATCTTCAGGGGAGGTCTTTTTCTCTGTCTTAATATCCCCCTGGGTGTGTTTGGTGGAGACACAGAAGAGAATCTTCTCTTAGCTGCTCCCAGATTCTGGAATTCCTTTCCATAGGAGGCCAGTCTGGCCCCAGGATTGCTGTCCTTCTGCAAGCAGGCAAAGGTCTTTCTCTGAAGAGAAAGATCCCTTAATGTTTTCCCTTAGTGACTGGCAGTCTAGGAGAGGTTTCTAAAAATGGGATTCTTTGTGTTGTTGCATTTTAATCTGTTTTAGTAATGTCTTTATCTAAAAATCTTAACATGATGTTTGGTTAATTCTTCTATATTTGAATAAAGTATTGTTTTTAGCTTTTAATATTGTTTCTTTTTATAAGGAAAAGGCAGGGTAAAATATTTTAATTAAATAAACAATAAAATAATAAAGTGCCTATTAGAATGGTGTTAGATTCCAAACAGACCTATATGGCAGGAGTTTTCAGATACTGTAACTTGTCCTCAAACCATTTAAGGATTTATAGGTTTAAAAAAAACAGTAATGTGCTTTCTGGTTGCAATACTGTTATTGTTGTTTTGTCAATTATATTTTAATATGAAGACAAAATGAAAGCAGTGAAAGCTGTGTTATTCCAGAAGGAATTTTAAATTCATTATCTTGATTATGCCTTTCTAGGCCAATCAAAAAGCCGCAAGGAGCATGCAGAGGCACAACAAAACCCATAACCAGTTGGAAACAATTTCATCCGGTAGGTAGGGAGAATTGGAAGTGGGTGAAGGGTGGTCTTAAATCCTCCTTGTATGCATATTTTGCCAGGATGTGATGGCAGAGGTGAGGCAGACCCGGGAAGGGGGTTTATTCAGTGATGTGGTCATGTTAGATTTCAAGTCAGCAGTCAGCAATCAACAGCTATAGACTTTGATGGTGTGCTAACATCCTGTTCACACCACTATGCCTACTTCTGCCTCATGGCTCACACAGTTTCAAAACAATCAGTTATATTATGTGGGAGCTGTGGGAGCCATGGGATAGAAACAGGAAGTGTTTAATTTATGAAAATAATCCCATACTAATGACATAATCAGCCTTTTGCAGGAGGAGTCTTGTGAACAGGCCTTCAGCCATTAATTTTAATAATAACAAAACACATGGAAATATTTGAAATTAATACAATACATTGGCTGAAATCCTGTTGCTTAGCGTAATAAGTCACAACAAGCATAAGGTCACTTGAATCAATGGACTTTACAGCAGAGTTGACTCATTAAATCCCTATCGATTCCATGGGCCTTCTCTACTGTGCCTTACTATGCTGAGCAACAGGATTTTAGCCAACAAAAGATAGGTGTCTTGAACCTCCATTACTTCATTCAAATACAAAATGTCTCCTGTAGTAAACTATAACTATGCCATGATGCTCTGTGACAATGTAGATAGCGGATTCTGAGTTGCATTAAGAGGAGCAAAATAATAGACAGATGAGCACTTCCATTAGAATATCCACCTCCTGTGAAAGCTTTAATTAAGTGAATAGGAAATGCAAGCTATCATTCACTTAACTTAGGCTTCCCCAGGAGAGCATTCTTTATTCACCATGTTAGTGAAAGCACTGGGGGTGAGGGTCATTTTGATTTTCACCAAGATGTCTTGGTTAGATTTTGAATTATGGGAGATCGTGTTTTTCTCTCTGACACATACATAAATACATGCTAGCGACAATGGTTTCTTTCAAAAAATACACATTTTAAATTTGTAGACCTCCTATCATTCACTGAAGTGAATCCATATACTGTAGTACTGCAGCCTTAGGCAACTTGTACACCATAAGCAAAAGGTTGTCACAGACTAAAGTAAAAGCCACCACTGATGAGTGAAACAGCTATGCCTACTGGACTTCATCAGCAGAATAGTTAAATACGAACTGTAACTGACTGCTGTTGTAACAATAGCAGTGCGAGACTGAACATTTTCAATTCTTTGTATGTTTACTCAGAAAGAAATCCCACTAGTGCTTAATCCATAACATGTTATTTTAAGATTCTAATATCAAAAAGGTGAAAGATATAAGTTACTCCTTCAAATAATGCAATTTTTCTTGCATGCTTTGTAATACTGCATAGCTGGGGAAGTCCTTTCTTTTTGTAAGCTCCTCATTCCTTTCAATTTATGCCAGATAATTAAGAAATTGAGATCAAAGGAGTCAATGATCTGTTTAAAAATCGCACCAACAGGACAAGTGATAAACGAATTTTAGAGAATGGCAGCACATTAGAATGATCTGCTGATTCTGGGGCTGAGTGACTTACCTGGGTTTTTCCACCGGTGCTTTCTTGAACTGCTGTGCGAGACAGAGCAGTAGTAGCAGCAAAACATGAAAAAGCTCCTGAAAATATATTGCTGATCCCAAAGGCAATAAACTCCTAGAGGATAAGAAAGCTGATGTAAATAAAACATTTTTAAACCAAAACAAAGCAAGTTATACTAAATATAGGACATAACTGGGGAAAGGCTCAGGACAGACTGGCCATGCATCTAATTCTCCCTTTACATCAAAACAGTTTATTGACTCTATTGAAACATATAACTGCATTAACTCCTCAGGCCACCACTATATCAACTGTGTATCTCTGGACATCAGCATTCCTATGGTGGCTGAAAATTAATATAATATAGGCTTCTCTCAATAGACATGAAACTTACACTTCATTGTGTATCAGAAACTCTGATCTCACATACCTGATTTCCATCAATAGCATAGTCATATTTGGTTGCATACACTTTGCCTACTGAGACGGCTATTGCATAAGCAACAATAGCAATGGAAAAGGCCGATGCTATCATATCTCCAAACATGCTGACATCTGGAGGTGCAGGAGGCAAAAATCTTTAAAACAAAGAACAATATGTATTTACATATATGTGTGTGTATATAGATCTGTGCTTTCTACACATATAGATCTGTGCTTTCTACACATACTAGATATTTTGAACAAATTATTTTCAGTTAAGGCACTTTGACACTTTACAGTATAGAGGAAAATGTACTCCAGCAACCTTTCTCCCTGTAACACGCAGACTACATTTTCTTGTAGGCTTATTTGTTACTTTTATTTAGTGAGACATAATGAAACACAACAATCATTTGTAACCAGAGCTTGGAACTTTTATATATATATAGTGTATAAGCTTTGGTTACAAATGATTGTTGTGTTTCATTATATATATAAAAATTCTCTGGAACATTTCTGGGCTACTTGGAATTAATTTTTTTTAAAAAAAATAAACATTTCCCGCCTCTGCCTGTAGCATGAAACACCATTAAGGCTATGCTTGACTGCTCAAATGTGTAGTAGATGCAGTAGAATTTCATCTGTCTGGCCTGCCTATTTGCTGTATTGTCTACACCAGTGGTTCTTAACCTTTTTGAAAGAAACGCCCCCTTGAGCCATTGAGGAAGTTATCATCGCCCCCCCCTCCCTGCGGTGATAATATATTTTATTTATTTATTTGTTTGTTTGTTTGTTTTTTTGTTTGTTTGTTTGTTTAAGACACTTAAATCCAATGACCCCTGAAAA